AGAACAATCTATATAAATAAAAATGTAATGTTTGTTTGTGGGATTAACAGAACTCGAAAACCACTGGACGAATTGCCACTAAATCTGGACACAATACATTTAACAACCCAATGTATGTCCTTCACTCAAAAAAATTGATTTTGTCATTTGGGAGTTGTAGTTGCTGGGATTTATAGTTCACCTACAATCAAAGAGCATTCTGAGCCCCACCAACAATGGAATTGAACCAAACTTGGTGCACAGTTCTCCCATGACCAACAGAAAATACTGGAAGGGTTTGGTGGGAGTGTCCTTTAGTTTTGGAGTTGTAGTTCACCTACATCTTGAGATCACTGTGGGCTCAAACAATGATGGATCTGGACCAAACTCTACACAAATACTCAATATGTCCAAATGTGAACACTGGTAGAGTTTGGGGAAAATAGAACCTTGACATTTGGGAGTTGTAGTTGCTGGGATTTATAGTTCACCTACAATCACAGAGCATTCTGAATCCCACCAACGATAGAATTGGGCCAAACCTCCCACACAGAACCCCCATGTGGACCACAGCAACGCGTGGCAGGGGACAGCTAGTGTAATATAAAATATATGGAAGCCTTCTTGTTTTAACAAATATAAACTTATTAGTATTTCAATGGGAAGTGTGGGCCTGCTTTTGGCTGATGAGATAGGATTGTTGTTGTTGTTGTTGTTGTGTGCTTTCACGTCGTTTCAGGCTTAGGTTGACCCTGAGCGAGGGCCGGGTAAATGACCTTGGAGGGTCGTATCCGGCCCCCGGGCCTTAGTTTTAGGACCCATGGTTTAGACGATCCCTCGTTGGCCGAGTAGGATAGTCTTCCAGGATCAGTGTTCTGGTGGGTCCGTATGTGGCTGTGGAGCCCTATTCTTGATCTGCATCTTCTCCCGCAGTGAGGGCATTGGTTTCCAGGTGGAAGGCACTCAGCCAGACCAGGTGAGATTCATTTCTTGGGTCTGAACGCAGCTTTCCTAGCTCAAGTTGACTACACAACTCTTAAACTTTGGTATAATTAACACGTATGGTATTTAAGGAGCAGGACTATAGATTAAGCTGGAGCTGGAAGAACTCCAATTGGTTTTAGAAAATGACTGTTTCTTCTCAGATAATAAAATACCTATTGGTTTTGAGGTCATTTTTCAATCATGGACCTCAGCATAGTACTTTCCTCATATAATCATTAGTGGATTCCATTGTTTCGATGCCCCAAACCTGGTGAAATAAGCTTCTTTCTCCAGGGAAATGAACTCATTTATCCTGAACTCATAAACCTTTAAGTGCTGTTCCTTGTTTTCCACTTGAGCTTATTGACATCAGTCAAGTAACTGCATGAGCCCCAAACTGTAATAACAGACTATCAAAAAGATCAACATGAGTCATAGGCCAACAAACTTTAGCTATTATTCGTGAAAATCATCCTCTTTTACAATCTTGCGCTGCACTTTCTCAACCTTGAGCTCTAAGTTCTTAAATCCCAGATTTTAGTTGTCCAATTCCATGTCTGACATTTTTTCACGCATTGTAAACTAAGCCTGCAACTACTTAAATGCAAAAACTTAATAATTTGTTCAGTCAAGTGTCTTCAATAGAGTTCACACAGATTTTACAGACTCTCTGCAGTATTATTTTAAATTAAAAATCAAAACACTACCCATCATGAAATAGAAAAAAAAGTTATTTACATCCATGAATTTTCTCCAACTGCTGTTCTTTGCTCTGTATGACTTCTGAGATATCACAGCCACTGATGACAAGTAAGCCTGTGATATTTACTGGTGTTTGGTTCGAGGACCCTCTATGATATCAAAAGCTATGAGTGCTCAAGTCCCATTTTATGCAATGGTGTTATAAAATAATTTCCCTTATATAAAATGACAAAATCAAGATGTGCTTTTTAGATTTTTTTTAAAAAATATTTTCAAGCTGTGGGTGGTTGAATTTCTGGATGCAGAATCCATGGATATGGAGGGTTGGTGGATATAAAAAGTTCTCAATAAGTTTCAGAAACCAACAATCTATTTATATATTTGTATCTATCTATATCCATAATAAAAGTGAAAATGTGTATGTCTGTTTGTGGCTGGGATGTCCACTTCCACAAACAGATTTAGCCCACAATGCTGAGGAGCCACCAAAACCCCTCATTTCAGGTCATAGCGAGCACCATGAACATGTAGCCCAACCCCTTCCAATGTCCTCCCCAAACACCATACTGCCCACCACCCAAGGAATGCTTTCATTCAGTGACAATTCTATCCTAGATTTTACGTGTTTCCTTCACCACAGACATCCCAGTGTTTCTTACTCTCTACATTGGTGTAGAATTTGTATGATCCCGCCCCTCCACTGCCTCTCCACTGACCCTTTCCTACTCTTTTCAATTCTATCTGCACAACAAACAGAGCAGACGAATCAGCAACTAAACATACTGGAAGGGTTTGGGGGATTGAGTCCACATGATAGAAGTTGTAGTTCACTCTACATCAAGTCAGAGCACTATGACCCCCACTGAAAATGGACCTGGACCACATTTGGTACACAGAACCCATGACCAAACAAAGATACTTCAAAGGTTTGGGGGAAATTCACCTTGATTTATAGCCATTGTAGTTACAGGGATTAATAGTTCACCTGCAATCAAAGAGCACTCTGGACCCCACCAATGATGGCCCTGGACCTCACTTGGCACACAGAACCCTCATGATCAACCAAA